AAAAAAAAAAAAAAAAAAAAAAAATAGATGAGTGGTACACGATTTTATGGTACAAAAAGATTTTTTGATTTTATGAAAATAAAAAAGTAAATTTTTATTATTAAATCAACCATAATATTTTTATCCAAAAAAAAAGTGAATGAGCGGTTTCTGTTACAAAAAAAGTTTTTTGATTTTGTGAAAATGAAAAAGTAAGTCTATCTTGTACAACTAAATAAACAACCTCTCCACTTTTTTAGCTCAAACATCTATCTCTCATTCGTTTTTTTATTACAAAAAAAATGAAAAAAATAAACAACTTCTCCACTTTTTTAACCCGACAAAAAATAAACAACTTCTCCACTTTTTTAGCCCAACATTTATTTTTCATTCGTTTTTCATTTAAAAAAAAAGAAAAAAGAAGTTGCTATTAATAGCATGCAATAAATGCATATTGAGTTTGACCTGCTATTTTTAAAAAATGATAAATCTTATTATATAGATATAGATTATTTATGGACTTGAAACTAATTTTTATCCAAAGTCAAATAACGACTGCTAAAAAAAATAAAAATCGACAATTCAAAGTTAATCAACTATTACTACTGCAACACCTCAAGCATACATACATCATCTATACAAATCATCAAGATTTTCCTCAACACTAATGTATTCATATTTCCTCTTCATCCACTTGCTCTATACACAAGCCAATTCTCCACACTCACACACACATATCTTCTGCAAACATAGCACACTGTTGCATGTTTTCCATGCAAATCAACATTCTTAACTCGATCGAGCATTAAATTAGTGCGAAGGGAAATACTTAGAGAGCCCGTACGGAAGTGAATAAAATTCTGCGCTCCTCGGGTCCTTGTCGAAATCCTTGAACTTGGCCCACCAGTGGCGCCCACTGTCTCTTCTGGTCGACCCGTGTTTGCGCGCGACTGTGAGGTCGAGAAAGTAGGCAACTAAACCGGCCACCACTGCTGGGGATGTAAATATCACTAGCATCATTTTGTTGAACTGCAAAACGACACGAAAAAACAACGCAAAAGCTATAAGTACAATAGAACACCTGCAAATTAACATGTAAGCTATCAAAGGTAAAGCTAGTTGATAGCTGATAAGTTAGCTTATAGGTTTTAAGTGAATTTTGAGCATATAGCTGATATCTTATGACTTAGGATTGAAAAGCTAGTTTATATAATAAAAGTATTTGGTAAAATTAGCTGATAAGCTAGCTGAAATAAAAATTCCAACGAGCTTATTTGTAAAGCTACCCAAAAGCTTATTAGATAAGCTCGAGCTTTTTTAAAAAGTTCATTCCATCAAACGAAGCTTATAAACTAACCAAATAAGCTATAAGCTACCTTATTTGACTACCAAACATAGCCTAGTTCTCGACAAATGAAGAGACGATGGTTATTGGGCCGACAGGAAAATTACATACATACCCATATAGAATGAGTGTGGATTGGGCCATGACCCGAAGTCAAGACATAGTTGCTGAAATACCTCGGCACCGAGAGGCCCATGAAGAAGGAAAAGCCTATGATGAACTTTGTTCTGAAGCTGTTGAGGTTGCAATATTGCAGTAAGCCGAGACTTGCAGATGCTGCACGAATAAAATACCGAAAAAATAAAATCAAATGTGACCATCATTTATGAAACTCAATGAGATACAGATACGTGACAAGTTCATACACATGAGAGCAAACAGGACGCAATACAAAGCACCAACTATTGGCAGTGGAATGGAAGCGACAATAGCTCCGAACTTTCCTGTTTTATGAGAATGAAAATGAGTGGAAAGTATAGATCATAATAAGTATGTCATATAAAAGTAACTAAACTTGAGAACTCCAATGACGAACCGAAGATCGAAAAGAAAAGCATGAAAAGGGCTGAAATCTGAATCACCCTTCGGCTTCCAACTCGTGTAAGAGCCAGCAGTCCTACATTTTCACTGCACTAGGAGGAATGACAATCAGGATACTAGAAAAATTTAAATACTAGAGTTAGAAAATTTAATAAATGGTTTCACAACAAGACTTGGTGAATTTTTCAAGTTTGGATTAGATTGCGGAAGATTATGAACCAATTGGTTAAGTTGCATTACACTGATACGGTCGATCCACTTCCTGTACCGAATAGACCATCGAGAAGCATACCAACTCCCTAGATGCAGCAAAGAAGAAATAAAAAATAGTGAGAACCAAAAATATATATCATAGATGGAGAATAAAGAAAAAGATAGTGATATATATAAATATATATATGTGTGTGTGTTAATTAAGCTTTCTTCCTACCAGCCATCCAATCCCTCGGCTAATTACAGAAGCTGGTGGATGAGTAGAACTTCCATATCTAGCTGCAGCAATAAATGCCCCAGTCGACTACGCCATGGAGAAAATGTAAATGGAGAAGTTTATAATAGTCCAGTTGAAAAATGGGGAGAAAAAAAAAATGAAATAGCAAATAGCATCATAAACGGTCAAATATCTGTAACAAGCACCGCTCGGCAAACAAACAAATTGTTTTAATGAATGAAAAAATTCGGAAATATTAGATGTGAACCTCGACCATTGCAACAAAAGCTGCTACCAGCATGACAAGGACTTCTCCAACATGTAGACTGGGTCGACCCCACTGAATCGGGTACGGAAGGGTAATCCTGCATATTAAGCAGTGGCATTAAGCACAAATATTCATAGTCAGCTTAGCAGTAACGATTTCAAATATTACTTAATATAGATAAGACTGGAAAAAGGAAAATTAAGTATCACATTTGCTAGAAACTGATGAGAGGAATAAACACATGATTTCAAGAGTTCAACAGTGTATGAACTTACCATGAGGATACTCTTACAAGTCCCGAACTATCCACACGACAACTTAACTGAGTGTTCAGTGACCGATATCTGTATGCACCGGCCACTGTAAGAAGGGCTGCATAAGCCCATACTATCCCCACTGACAATAGGACGGCATAACGGTCATAAATCGGGCGCTTCGAACTCAACATGTGAGGGATGTACTGCCACAAAATGTTTTTAACACCCACGAGTCAATTACTAAATACGTGAATCTTGAATAATGAGTTTCATTTTTTTCTTTAAGCTAGGAAAATCTGTAAGCCTCAAAATAAAATCCCAAGTGATTCATTCATATAATCTGATGCTGGGGCAAACACAATAACTTAGGATAGTTATCTTTTAAACCACTTGAATATGAAGTAGAGCTTAAGTTGTTGATTTATTTGTGTCGGATTAGATGAAGAGAAGACAGCCTAGTGCAACAAATTAATAATAATAAAAATAAAAATATATACGCTTACATGAGAAAACAAAACGAGAATAATTAGTTCCGGAAGCCCAATTTCCACACATTCTGCAAGCTACCAAAGCATCAACCACCAAAAACGACAACAATATGTTAGATGCTTTCAGTTGGTATACTTGTGTTAAGGTCTTAATATGCATATAGAAAATCTGATTAAAAACATTACGGTACTTGATAGTAAAAGTTTGGTGAACAAACAGCTCAATGGTAGCAATTTTATTAAAAATGCAATTTGACATTTGGGACTTGCATATAATGTTGTTCTAAGAAGATCTCACCAGTGGGAATCCCTGTTCATAGAGACCGAGTCCAACAAGAGCCACTAGAGGCACAGAAGAAAGTGGACTCAAGAACCTAGATCGTTAAACTAGTATAGTTAAGTATACCAACAATTAACCAAACTAAAAAGATCATATTTAACTACATACCTCACAACAATTCTCCAAAGTCCGAGGAAACCGAGCAACATGGGAAGTAAGGAGGCGAACATGAGGGCTCCTTGTATTGCCCTCATCGTCCAAATAAACCTCTTAACCAATGATAGGAGAAAAAAACAATTACACTTTAGAAAATTGTGGTTTCTTCATATATACAGCCATTGCATGGAAAAACAAAAGCAGTTGTGGGAGCTAACCAGATAAGGATGAAAATTGAAGAAATATCTCCCGGCAAACGCGACATATAGAGACGGGACAATGAATCTAAATGAGCCACCAATGACCACGGGCAGCCGGGTCCCGAACCAGGTTTGTAACAATGTGTTGAGCCCAGAAACAAACAGCAGAGTTTGTATCACTTGAGCCTTCTCCAACTGGTGAAAGATTATTATATATTAGCTTCAACTGAATAATTACAAACACAAAGCTATATATACAAAAACAGATTATCTTGATTTTGAGTGAAGAGAAGAAAAACACTAACATTGGTACCACCCATGTAAGGTACAATTATGGTGGGAATTATCACAGTGGTCCCAAGCATTACCAAATAGTGCTGAAATCCAAGAATAATTGCTTGAACTGCACAAAATTAATTTTTACATACATCAGAAACAGATTTCTTAGCTCTATTCCAAAAAATTGAACCAAAAAGAAAATATATATATCTATATGGTAATATATATATATATATATATCTTATATTAAAAAATATATATATCTATATGGAACTCCAAAATTCTTTTGTTCGTATGAAATTAATAATGGCCGCCATTGAAATGCGCAGACTCAAAATGCGTGAGAGAGAGAGAGAGAATTGTGCTTACGCCATGAAGGATTGCTGTTGACGCAGAAATCGACGCCGGGGAGCTGGTCCTTGACAGGGTGAGGCGCCGATTCATCCGCCGCCTTGGCCGCCGCCGCCTTCTCCGCCGTCATCCTCGCGATCGCCGCAGCTCCGCCCAGGTGAGTGCAACTGCAAAACTCAGAGGGTGGAATTTCATTTCGAGCCCCTTCAATTCCTCTTATATATATATATATATGTATATGTATATGTATTGGGAGTCGTGTTGAGCTGGTTATACCACTGTTATTCTACTGTTACATTTCTTGTGCCCACTATTTTTTTACTTTTATTTTTTTCATTTTAAGAAATTAACTGTAGCCAAAATTACATTTGTAGTGCTGCTGATTTAACCTCGTAACATTTTTAGCTTCAAGATTTTAAATTTTTGTCTTTCGATCCTGTAATTCAATATTTTTGTGCAACTTCAGTCCCAAATGACTGAAATTGCCAAAAAAATTAAAATTACAGAACTTAAGTTGATTCAACCAAAAAAAAAAATTTATTAGCAATTTAAGTCCTGTAATTTTAAATTTTGTTGCATTTTTAGTCCCACAGGACTGAAATTGCGTTGAATTTTAAAATTATAGGACCAAATAACAAAAATGTTCGATTCTTAGGACTAAAAACGTCACTGATCAAACCAACATGACTATAATTGTAATTTTGCCTTAATTGTATTTTTTGTGTTTGTTTTTATTTAATTATCGGTATTAATTGTTCGCTAATCATACTATCGAGTATCGATTGACGGTTATTTTTCTTGTTTTACTTATGTGTATTCATATCATTAAGGGCGTTTGGTTTTATTCTATTTGAGATATTCTTATGTTTAATACCTCTTTAGAATAATTTTCAAATGTAAATGCAATTAGTTGCATATTGGGCATCATAATATTGTAACGTACGGTTTTATTTTATACACGATCTTAATATTGAAAGATAGCCAAAAATTGGAATTAAATCTATATATACAAATGTTAACTATCATTTTGTGGTAGACTCATCATATTCACCATAATGTTTACATAGCTAAATATTATACAATTTTTTATCATAAGCAAAAAAAAAAAAAAAAAAAAAAAAAAAAANAAAAAAAAAAATTAAAATTGCCACGACAACTTAGAAAAAAAATTGAAACGAAACCAAATCAGAAATATTTTACACCAAGATAACTGAACCTAATTGCACTGAAATGCGCCAACGCCATACGACTCAATTTTACGTTTTATTTCTTTGTTCACACATTTTATTTAATTTAGTGTTGTTCGGTGCAAAACAACATCAAACCGAACAAAATAAAAAATGAAGTTTATGTAAAACAATAACTGTACCGAACTGAACCACAGTATATGAAAAAATCAAACTGAAATGTTTTACATTTAAATAATATAATGGAATAGCACTGAATTGCATGGTTCTGCTCGATTTTGCTCACCTCTATAACTACTTAGAAGCAGAAAAAAAATTACATACACAAATCTTACTGTTAGGCTAGGCAGCCATATACTTTATTATGAAAAATGTATATTTATATTATAAAATGTTATACTTTTTTTTTATATTGTATTTTTATAGTATGGTATTTAAGTATAAAAATATATATTTATTCTTCTTATAGTATGGTATTTAAGTATAAAAATATATATTATTGGAAGAATATGGTTGTCTAATCATTAATCAACCTATCAAAAGACATATTGTTTTATATAAATATTGTGTTCAACTATTATATTGTGAACCTTAATTCATTGTGCTTGGTGAAACTTTGCAAAAAATTTAGTAAAATATCCCCCGAAGCCCTAATGTACATCTTTTTTATGTATGTTAATTAATTATTACACATAGTATTTGTAGACAAAAAAATTATCAAAGGTATGCTACTGAGCAAACATTTAAACCATATATAATATTTTTTTTTTTTTGGTACAGGGACCTTTCGGTTTCCGGATCCACAGGGGAACCGACTAATTCGGAATCGAGCCGGGTAGGACCACAAGGGCGGTAAAGCTCTCCCTCAAGAGTTTTAACACTGCTGCATTCCTAGGGCTCGAACACGAGACCACTGGTTAAGCTGGAAGAGACCCAAGCCATCTCATCCAATACATCAAAAATTATACTTAATGTGTGTCACTTTAATTGCAATTTATATCGGTCTTTCTTTTTTGTAAGACTGACTAATTAATGGTAAATAGGTCGTTACACTAGCAAAACGATCAATGATATAAAACGACGTTGTTATGAGAACATTTTCCACCACTATTTACCTCAAATTAATTGTCTTCCAATGTAATTAATATTCAATTCATTTGAACCGTTTTGACTTTCATCACTTTTCTTTTAATGGCATAAACTTTTGGGAAATTAATGCTACCGTCTTGTTACGGAATCATTCTGTCAGTGTTTGAAACCGTTAGATCTATTATCCCCGAAGGTTATATAATGATCTAACGGTTACAAACCTCGATGAAATTATTTCCTAACAGAACTGTAACATCTCCCTAAACTTTGATATATTTCCATCAAACTAATTTGACTGCAAGAATTTGTTCTTTCCAACACAAAGAGGACCCTAAAAAGAAGACAAAAGGAATTAAAATAACATATTTCCCAAATTTTGGAAATAGGAAAAATGCACAAAACATGGTTAGGGCGTCTCCAATGGTTAGCTATTTGGCTAATTATTATGACGTGGACAGGGAAAAAGTAAGAGAGAGAGTAGTCACTATCTACAAACAAATAGCTTATCTATTTCACGTAGCCCAAGATCATGTGAGAGGAGTATGTGGGTCCAATAGTGTAAAATAGTCATTTTTCTTATCTCTCACATCCACGTCAGCTAACTATATAGCTAGTAATAGCTATTACCATTGGAGATGCCCTTAGGCAAAAGAAGTTGGGAAAGTGAGATAATTAGAGAGCCAATCACAACCGTCTTAACTACTTTATGGTGAGGAAGTTGAGACTATTCTTTCTTTATCACTGCAAATTCTTGTGATAAGTCACCAACTAATACTTCAGCTTATACTTTTTTTTTTTTTTTTTTTCCTTCTTTATTTCCTTTTTCACATTTAGAAATCAAAGAACCATAGTTTTTAAACCCTACCCGGTATTCGACCCGGGAAGGTCTCCAGGTCACCGGGTTACCGGTTCGACCGCCGGGTCACCGGGTCAATTGCTGAACCGGATTATTAATTTTAAAATTTTTAAAATTATATATATATATATATAGTATTTTGTCATATAAATATACATAAAGTAACAAAATTAAATATTTTGTATGTAAAATTTGTAGATTAAAGTGGTAATATTTTTTTTTTCATGATAAATATTTACCATATAAAAATTTATACATAGTTTTATTTAAAAACAAAAAAATAAAAAATAAAAAATATATATAGGGACAGGGTCAACCGGGTTGACCCAGCCGAGTCAATGCCCCGGGTCGACCGGGTCAAGGCAGGGTTGGCTGGGTTTTGACCGAGTTTGACTGGTTCCTTTGTTGTCCGGTCTAATTAGCACACCCGGACCGGTTCCGGCTCCGGTCAACCCGCCGGGTCGGTCGGGGTTGAAAAACACTGCAAAGAACTAACATTATGATATAGCCGTTTTGCTATGAAACCAACAGTTGGCTCCACAGTGGAGTCAACTTTCTATATACGACAAATAAACTTACCATATTCTCTAATTACTTAAATAACACTAAAATAATTTTAGTTTTATTTTTAATTTACTGTGGCTTTTGTAATATAATATCTATATAAATATATCTATATAAAGAGAAAACCTATTTACCAAAAACAGTAAAAAAAAAAAAATTGCCAAAATTTAATGCATTTCCCTTTGGGAAATTATTTGAATTCATTTACCATACAATCAGGCAGCATTAAATGCTCCCTTAAATGGTGAGTTTATTCAATTAAGTTCATTCAATTTTATCTTACATTCCATATAATCATATTCCTAATAACATTAAATTTGCTTATATAATTTTAAATTAGTTACATCAATAAATAATATTAATATAAATATTTATCATTAGATAAAAAATAAAATTATCTCTATAAGTGTTATAAATAACAATGACATTATACGATAATAAATTTTTAAATAAAATAATATTTGATTATTATAATGAACGTATATAAAATTATTATTTTTTCTATCTTAAAAAATAAATATATGTATTAAAATATTATTTATATTAATATAAACGGGTTAGCAAACTAATATATTATTAAAATAAGAAACCGTGCATCGCACATGATTCTCACTATTTCAATCTGAAGAGGAAGAGTTTGATTTTTTTACCAGAAAATTAAAAAAAAAAAACAAAGTGCTGGACAAAAAAATACACAAACATTTTCCGGTGGAACAAAATAAAAGGCACGTATTTAGTGAATACGTTTTTTATTGTAAAACGTATTTTCAAAATACGTTTTCCTTTGTAAAAAAAATTAAAAAACGTATTCACTAAATACGTTTTACAAATGAATTTGTACTAAAAACGTATTCAGTGAATACGTGCTTTCTATTTTTCTCCACTCCCTCTTTTTTTTTTCCACTTGATTTTTTATTATTTTTTTTATATAGTGGTGACGCGGCAAATTATGATTGGTTTTCTTTTGTCGCAATAATTTGCAGAAAATAAAATCACGCCTCGTACTTTATGCTGGCAAAAGACAATTGCTCATCAAAATACACACATTCATATATATTCAGGAGAAGCTTTTAATCCCCGGCAGAACAGATCTTACCAGATTTTAACTTTTCAGGTAATTCTTTTGCACCCTTGTTCAATTTTTGATTTACTATGCGCGTTGATGGATCCAATTTCGAGAATTTGCTATGAATTTGCAACGCCGGCGGAAATTAGGGTTTTGATTTCCGCGGCCCACCCGTTAATTCCGATCCGGCTATAGCTTCCCGATCGTTGATGGAGTTTGATAATTTTAATTTATCACGGGAATTTGTAAATCCCTTTGATTTTGCTGAAACGTGGTGGTTTTGCAGGGATGATTGCGTTAGATTATCTGGTTTTGGTTATCGGTAATGTATACCGCGAATTTCTGAATTCAATCGTATTTGATTAGCGGGAACTGTGAAATTTTAGTTTTTTTCGAAAGCCCGTGTGTCTTTTCCCCGATAAATTAATTATTTCACATTTTCACACAATTTGCTCAAGCAATTTTTTGGGAGAATGTTTGCATTTGATAGGAAATCCTCAGTAATTAATTTTCCGGGTTTTGATTATTGTTTATTTGTTGTGCAGTGGATCTCTTTTTGAGAAATCCGTTCAGTGCTTAATAGCTAATGGGGGCACCTAAGCAGAAGTGGACTCCAGAAGAGGAAGCAGCTCTAAAAGCTGGAGTCCTTAAACACGGGCCCGGCAAATGGCGCACGATACTTAAGGATCCACAATTTAGTGGAGTTTTATACCTACGGTCGAATGTCGATCTGAAGGTAGAATTTTTGTTTTCTGTTGGAGATGGTAATGGTATTAGTTATATGAACTGGATCGTGAAGTTTTAGAAATTTAGTAACTTTCGGATTTCATAATAGTTTTTGTTGGTCTCGATTTGGGTTTTAGGACAAGTGGAGGAACATGAGTGTGATGTCGAACGGGTGGGGTTCAAGGGAAAGGAGTAGGCTGGCACTGAAAAGGATTCACCCAACACCCAAACGTGGAGAGAGCTCTATGCCTCTCTCGTCCGTAAGTCAAAGTGATGATGATTTAGTTGATTCGAGGACTCATGCGACTTCAGGAGGTTCTTCCCAAAACGATGCCCCAAAGAGATCTATCATGAGGTTAGACGTTCTATTTTTACAATTTCTGGCTTTCATTCCATTTTGAAGTTTCAAGATTCGGTTCATTTGTAGATTATAACCTTGTTTTTTTTTTGTTTTTTTTTTCCTTTTCGACATTATCGTGTTAGTTGAACTCTTGAGAAACAAAGGCCTGGATTTTTTTGATGAGTTTTCTTTGATATGTTTTGGTCTTCTTTTCTGGGATTGTGTTTCTTATGAAATAGTATGCAAGTTTGGAAGGCATGTAGCAGTTACTTTCTCGACTTGCATATTCTCATGTTGATTTATGTAGTGTTCTTTTGATTTAGACAAAATTCATTGTTTCTTAGTTGAGGTCATGGTTTTGTTTAAAATGCTACCACTGACCGGTGGTTATTTGTCTATTTACATGGTAATAGGTTGGATAATCTTATAATGGAGGCTATAAGAAACTTGAGACAGCCTGGTGGTTCTAACAAGACATCCATAGCTGCGTACATAGAGGTGAGTTTTCTTCTGGTTAAGTTCATATCATATTGGATATAATGCTTTTTTTTTTAATTTATTTTTTTATTTTTCAATTTGCTTCATGTAATGTGATAGTTTATCTTTTGTTGTATATATATATATCAAGAACATACCTGCAATATACTATTAGAACCGGCACATTTATTTGTTAATTACCTTAATTTGCAGTTGTTATGTCAGATGCCATGTTTTCCCAATATAAGCTTTCCTATCAATAGAAACATTTAGCTTAGAAGAAACTCGATGAAAAATCTCACGATTATTTCTGGCAATGAAACAAAAAGACACATTTTCCCCAATTTTTCGCAAGCTCTGATTAAGTTGATTGTGATTTGTAAAATTATTTCAAATTGGAAAGGATAATTTTGTTGGATAAAAATTTCAAATGCTTTATCTGAAACAAATTATTGCCTTGTAACCTTACAACTTTGTTCCCCTTCCCACAGGAACTATATTGGGCACCTCCGAACTTTAAGAGGATATTGTCTGCCAAACTAAGACACTTTGCTGCCAACGGAAAACTAATTAAGGTTTTTCTTCTCCCTAATCTCTACAGAAACTAATTTATCTGCATGAAAACTGTTGATTAATTATTTATCAGCTATAATTTTTTTTTCAAGCAGTTGAAACGAAAGTACAGAATAGCTGAACCTTCGTCTCTACCTGAGAGACGAAAGGCGGCTTCAGTTCCCATGGAAGGTAGATTGAGGAATTCCCAGAGGATTGACTTAGAAGATGTTAGTCAACTCTCGAAATCGCAGATCGATTTGGAGCTGACCAAGATGAGAAACATGACCCCACAAGAGGCTGCTGTTGCTGCGGCTCAAGCCGTGGCTGAAGCGGAGGCTGCCATGGCGGAAGCTGAAGAGGCGGCTCGGGAAGCTGAGGCGGCTGAGGCTGATGCCGAGGCTGCACAGGCTTTTGCAGAGGCCGCTTTAAAGACACTGAGAGGAAGAAATAGTTCGATTACGGTAAGAGGTTTATTTGAGCTTTGTTCCGTTTTCGAATCATAAAATTTATTTACACACTTCTTTTTTTTTTTT